TGACTACTACAATTTCATGAAAATCTATACTCTTTAGGGAGTTCTCTGGTGATGACTAAGAGCCAAGTAACGATACCAATATAATACGTGGATCTGAGAAATTCATGGGAAATAGTTATTCTTACTCATTCGCGACTGGCACTTTGCTAAAAAACCCAGACTTTAGTGGATAATTTTTACGTGAAACAATTTTACTGAACATTTATAATCAATGACTCCTCCAAGATCAGATTTCACGGCATACTGCACCCTCTTCTTGCTCCTGATTGCCTATGGACATGTAAGCAGTTCACAGCTGCATTATATTTGAGCATCTGCAGTGTCAGTGCCATGCATATCTCATCGATTTCTCTGTTAGAGTCACAGCGCTTTCATCATGGTCCATGTTCTCCCTATATGCACCCTCATGAACATCATAAGCTGTTCGTACGCCCGAATGTGCCAAACACGAATGACCCCTCGACGATCAATTTAAGGTCAATTTTGCTACTCGCTTTCTATACAGGACAGTTTTAATATCCACGGAACACTGGCATGTTTAAGCAATCTCTCCAGCAAGTGGGTGCGGCTTATGAACAGTTGTGGCGAGAGAGCAGTTTATGATGTTTCTTGAACATTTTGCAAATAAAGATTTTCAAGTTACGTTTACTTACGCGGGTGCCTGAACTTAATGTACTGTATCAGTAAGTCGGAAAATGTTGCTTGAAACCTCTTAATTTTGTGCTTCTTAGTGTACTTTTTCATCAATTTTGATTAAAGTGCATATATTTGCAATATTTTTTAAATTTTTGGTTCTGTATTTTGTCTGATATTTAATCATCTTGGCTGTCAAATTTAATGTCAGAATTTTTAGTGGCTTATCGTGGCGTTGGTGTTGGATGCTTGTCATGTTCTCTCAGAGACCCGTAGGAAAGTAAATTTGGCCTAGAACGTTGATATGAACGGCGTTTTCATGTAGATGACAGGTTGTTTGCGAATAGGGAAGGACTGTACCGGTTACGATCTGATGGCCTCAAATTTTGTCTGACTAAACTTAGTAAGGTGTTGCATGAATCAGATCGTTGAAAGTAGGCATTGTTCAGGAGACCTGGTTATTTGCTCCTTAGAAGTACCTGTGACTATGGTAAATATCATGATTTTGTCGGTGATTAGTTCAACGTTAATTAAACGGATTTCGAGCAGTGGATCGGATACCGGCCTTGCGGTCTGTGCTGCGAACCCTTTTCAGGGTATTCGTTCGAATCATCGAAGCGGTTTTCAAAAATCGGCTTGCATAATTGTGGTACCCAGATGCTGGATGCTTTGAGCTAAACTGCTTACAGGTTCTAATACAAAGACAAAAACTGTTCGAAGCCATTTCCATTGTTCAGTTTAGTGTTTTCACAAGTGACAATATGACGCTGCTCAGAAGAACATATAGGAAGTATGATGAAAATGTTTGAAGAGTACAGAGCGCAATATACGACACGTTTTCTATTTTAAGTATCTTTCCCTGCTGCTTTACAGGCGAGTCTTCCGGCGGTTGCTCGGGGTTAAGGAGTTCCTCATAGTACTCCCTCCCTCGTCGAAGAATGTCCTTATCTTCGATAAAATGGTATTCAGACCCGTACTTCAAGACTCTTAGACTGCCCTTCTTTTCACCTCGGACCGGCGAATGGTCTGTCAGAATACCTTGTTTGCCGTGGGGAAATTTGACTCCAACACCTCACCGAACTTCTTCGAACCCAGGAATCAGCTCCTTTTTCTTTTTAACCACCAGTTGTACCTCTCGTGTCCGTCAGGAAGATTTTTTTCTGATCTGCAGGCGGCAGGCCAACCGTACCATTCGTCGGCAGCCTCGAGTATGCCGCTGTTAAAGAGCTGCCACTCGGTTTTTACGTCATGTGGCCATCACCGGAATATGTTCAGATCGTCGTGCGATGTTCTTTTTTCAAGTTTCGCATTCGTATCCGCCAAGAATAATATTTCCCATTTGATTCTCTGGTTACTTCTACGCATGGTACTTTATTTGCCACAGCCTAGGGTGCGAACAACAGAGCTATGATCGGTTGACAGATCTGCGTCTGTCTTAAGGCGAACATCCATTATGTCGCAATTCAAACGATACCACTATCAAATCAATCATCGACTTCTGCGCACAAGCTTCCCTATACTAGGTATCCTTAAATTATTAGCATATTAATGAGTGGGTGGCATCGGTACGCAGTAAAAAACCGAATAGCGATGAAGAACTTAAATATTTCTTGTAGGCGGAAGGTTGGTGTGTAATCGATCATTGAAACCCGGATTTCATCGTGTATGACACCTGCTCTTTTCTCCTAGATGCCTGTTAAACAATTTTAAACATGTCGAGTGCCATTGTATTTAAGGCTCTACTATACTCGATGTATCTTGCATCAGGTTTCTTAGCATGGGCAATACTTAATTCGTAATCAATGATGTTTCAGAAGCAGATACTGCATGTACGCTTTTACGAATCCTCATAAACTACTCAGCTGAGTATGCTGATAAGTACTTAACTCCTCACAAAACCGATTTAAATTTCAGCGGTGGTTGCAAACGCCGTGGACTATATTTTGGGGTATTCGAGATCTTCGAGGCGTGTGACTGTTTACGTAATGCAGTGCATGAAACGAACGAAGATTGTGTTATTCGAACGTACGGAAAGATAGTAAAGGAAGTTAGGCCGATTCTTGGATTCGAACAAACAGCGCTTTGGTTACGTAGAGAGTAAGAGATGATGAGCAGATATGAAAGATGTTCAGCGGGGGTTGGAGACAAGCAGTGTCTAGCAGGTTTTCGTCCTTAATAGATTTTTTCGCTTTGTGTTTTTCTTCTGGCGTATGGCTGCGGGAGGGGGCAATTTTATATTTGAATGTCCAGATTTCTAAGCGAATGAATGACTCCGTCGTAGCATTCTGGGCTATCAGTTATGCTACCGTCCCAGCGGGCATTCAGAAATACTGTGCTACATAGCAAAGTTATTTTAATGACCGCGGTCACACTGCGGCGACTCGGACTTTTTTTACTACGGTGAAGAAGTTCGCTGTCTCGCTGCCCTGTCTGAATCTGATTTAACATCAACCATTCTTGGCGATTCAAATCCAGGACAGGGGTTTGGACGTTTGTCGCGATTCTTCTCTTTTGTTAACGCATAATTATAGGCTTGGTGTGCATTTCAGGGCATGAACTCGTTTGATACCGACCATCTTATAGCGCTGCTGCCTGAATACTATAAGTGGTTGTTTCCCTTTAAGCATTTTTTCCAGTGGCTCAGATATGGTATTTATATGTGCTTGTTTTGCTTTGTGTAATTAGCATTTCTTTCGTTAATAACAGGACAAGACGACTATTTTCGACGACGGGAGTTTGCGCTCGTACGCGAAGGGGACATTTACATTCGATATCAAAGTTTTGACAATCAGGCGGAAATGCAAAGTTCCATAACGTCTGTCAACCCAAGCAAAATTGACATTGGCGCTGTTTTCAACGGAAAAGTAACGTGATTTATTGATTAGAGATAATATTTGTTCCTTATATGTACCTTCGGCT